TATCACTGTCGGAATCTGCAGTTTCAGTGGGAGGTCACCTTCTTTACAAGATTTTAGCTTATCATACAAATCTTAATGACATTGACAAATGTACATACTTGGTTAAATTGGAAATAGTTTCTTCTTCTTCGTCAATCAGTTCTGAACAGTCAAAAGAGGAGTTGGTGCTTGTACTACTTCGACTGTAAGGAAAAAAAAAACAAACACAGAAATGCAACTGTTTTTGATTTATCATTGTGCAACCATCAGATGCCAGTCACTTCATTTACCATTTTCAATAGACTCCAACAGATGATACTGTACATACTGGTGTCAATGATTGACGAGGATGAAATATAAAAAAAAAAACACCCTACAATCAGTTATTTTTAATATAATTCTACTCCAGTCTTCAAGTCAGCTGTACTTACTGATGGGTATGAGAAATCCCTTGCCTTGACGCAGTTGTTCTTGAATGATGTCAAAATATATGATCTACTTTTATTTTAAAATCAAAATTTATGAATGAAAATTATTTGAAGAATGGAGATTATTTTGTTCATTTTTCATAAAGGCCTGATAGGGTGTGTTTTGTCAACAAGCAATTTTTTGCTTTAAAAGTGCTAACTTTGTTAATGGATAATAACTTGTACTATCTTCCTATGTTATGCCGCTTTGGTTTGGATTGCTGCGGAGCAGTTACAAATTATTTTCAGTGAATGTACATTCACTTGATAGACACATGAATGGGAGGCAGAGAGAGGGATGGAAACTGTGCATGGGTAATAAGTAACGGGTCTTAATAAGGATGAGAATCTGCATGGGCTTGGTGGGCCAAAGGGCCTGTTCTTGTGCTGTATTGTATCAATATATACCTGACAGCCCTTCATTGGAAAAGGACCAATTTGTTGCAATCTAGATATATATGAGAGAAGGGGATAGACTTCTCCAAATTTAAACCACGTAGCAGTGAGGTGCATGTGTACAGATACTGTAGAAAGACACCACTGAAGCATTAGCTGCAGATTTGAACTGTTTAAAAACTATTTAAATATGAATCATAATTTAATTTCATTCCTAATTAATCCCAACAGTCATGTAATCATCAAGGTCTTTAATAGTATTTTGAATCAAGTAATTAAAATATCCATAATTAAATTTATACCTAATGACAATCTTTGAAGTGTAACAGTAACAAGATGATTAATTCAGTTGAAAAGGCATTAATTACATGAATTAGAAAGACAAGTCTTAAATGGTGCTGGTGTTGGCCATGTACAGGAAACCTGTGCCAGCTGATCTTTACCAATATGCCACTGATGCATATTTAGCTTGTAAATGAACTTGTGCCTCTTTGCCCACTACATGGGAGGATTACAAGGTTGTTCAGGTGTTGTGTGACCAAGATTCTGGGGATAGAGTCTTCCCATGTCCTGACCAACGATGGCGAGGAAGTTGAGAGAATTGTGTGAATTCGGGTGGCACAGTGCTCTGTGGTTAGCACTGCTGCCTCAAAGTGCCAGGGACCCGGGTTCGATTCCACCTTCAGGTGACTGCCTGTGTGGAGTTTGCACATTCTCCCCGTGTCTGCGTGGGTTTCCTCCGGGTGCTCTGGTTTCCTCCCATAGTCCAAAGTTGTGCAGGGTAGGTGGATTGGTCATGTTAAATTGCCCATAGTGTTCAGGAATGTGTAGATTAGGTGGGTCATAGTGGGATGGGTCTGGGTGGGATGCTCTGAGGGTCGGTGTGGACTTGTTGGGCCGAAGGGCCTGTTTCCACACTGTAGGGATTCTGTGAAACAACAGGGGTTGCTTCCCATGGTCAAGTGCAAAATGTCCCATTTTCCAACCAAGTATTGAACAGCGAGATGGGATTATCGCAAAGGGGCAGTGACAGTCCTATTCACAGACATCAGTATACATATTAAAATCCCCAATATTACACTGTCTCACTTCTTTGATATGCAATTTCCCCTTCTTCCACCTGTTGCACAGAGACAATGCCCAATGTGAAAGGCAGAGTGACAACCTGGTGACAGCATCTTGTCACCTGCTTCCCCGGCCCTCCATCAGTCACCAACATCACAGGGCACTCTCCATGAGTAGTGACCACATTCACCCCTCCCCGCCCCTATTCCCAAACTCAAACAAGCCATTCAAGGTAGCTGCAGGCAGCCAGCACTTGATAGTATACGCAGCTGGCCTTTAGGGATGGCAGCGACACCAGGAATGCCAGGGGATTCTGGCATTGGCCAATACTTACTCCAGTGGCAAGTAGGAGAACATGGTAGGGGTACAGTGCATAGTCAATGAGGAGAATTTGAGATGATCGCGAGGGTCTACGGAGGGAAACTTGTCAAAAAAAGCCACTCAGCTGATCTCTGATAAGATTTAGCCCTAGGTCTTTGTTCAGCTTGCAATTTTAAAAACAGGATTTGTTAAACAAATACTGACGTCAATTGTGTCTATCCTCTAGACTATTCCACTGCAAATAGAAGAAATTACACATGGAGAGTTTTGCAATATATAAAAAGGAAAGAAGAATGTAGTTTAAAAGAAAGTCAACAAAAGTACAATCACATTTTATTTTTGGTCATTGAATTTATATTCAGATTCATTGTATGATATCTCTATTACTCACATCGAAGCCATGGGCATGTAGATCCCAGAGTCTCCAGATACTGGCCTTTCATTTTTCCATTGACGCATCTGTTTAAAAGAAAATTAAATCAGTTTTTGAATGTTGATGCAAATGAGGCTTATTAAATATTTAAACAGGAAATTTACAAACCCTTCAGTTATTACAGTAATGGGCATTAAGTTAGTATACACTAAATTCAAACCCAATTTACAGATACACAAAAATGTCTGTTCTGAACAAGGGTCATTGCTCAAAACCTTAACTTTGTTTCTCTCTCTCCACTGATGCTGCCAGACCTACTGAGTTTCTCCAGCACTTTATTTTTATTTCAGATTTCCAGCATTCACAGTAATTGGCTTTCATTCAAACACGTCGGTTTTTTTTTTGCTTTGGTTTTCTTTGTTAATAAACAGCTATGACTCTGATTGGAGTATTGTTATTCAATTTGTGATGACTGGCAAAGATTTCCAACTAATGTTTTTTGAATACAATTTAACTTGCCTTGCAAGTATTAACATCTGACTTGAATATCAAATTTCCAGACATAAATCTTACATGCCATTATCCTTTTAATATCTTGTTTAATCAATCTGAAGGAATTTCAGCACATTTACTCGATAAATTATTTATAGTTTTAGGTATTCATCAGATGAGTGATGTCAATGCAGGAGATTGGTACATTTCCCATTTTGAGAACCCAGTGTCATCCTCAGATGCTCCCAAAATAGATTGTTAAATGCAGAGTATTGCCCCTCCCCTAAGCGGAGAAGAACAAGGACATTCTAATATTCAAATTTCTCCCTTCCCTTCTTTCCCAACCTGTTGGATTACATGACTCCCTTGATTGACAGAAAAATGTTTCTAAGTGCACCTGTGCCACCTGTTTCCAAGATATGTGCAAAGATTGTGCAACAAAGTTGCTGTCTGTATTCAAAACATTTGGCCTTTCACAGAATCCCTACAGTGTGAAAGCAGGCCATTCTGCCCACACTGACCCGCTGAAGAGCATCCCACCCAGATGCACGCCATCCACCCTGTAAATCTGCATTTCCCATGACTAATCCATCCAGCCTGTACATCCCTGGACACTACAGGCAATTTAACATGGCAAAATTCACCTAACCTGCACAACTTTGGACTGTGGGAGGAAACTGGAGCATTGAGAGGAAACCCACACAGACACAGGGAGAATATGCAACCTCCACACAGACAGTCACCCGAGAGTGGAATTGAACCCAGGTCCCTGGTGCTGTGAGGCAGCAGCGCTGACCACTGAGCCACCATGCTGCCCCGTGGCTCTACGGTTAAAAACAAAGAACTGGGAAATGGAATGATAAGTATGATATTACTTTGGGTGTTTGAAAAATTTCCTATGGATTGGCATGCCTGAAAGATAAATCTATCCCAAATACTGCGTCCTTATAAACAAAAGCAAACCTATTTTGAACTTTAGTCATACTAGTTAGATTTCCTTATCAGAAGAAATTGATCATTCAATAATCTACAAAATCATTTTACTAGGTATTAAACATTAAACCCATTAATATGTAAATAAAACAACATATCTATATTTACATAAAGTATAGAAATTATTTTAAATCCCCACGACACACTTACAGCTGCTAGAACATTCCTTGGTGTATCATAAATATTTGAAGGATCCTCAAATTGTAGAGGCAGTGATAAGGAGCGTGGCTTTGCGATATTAACTGGAGAACGGATGGGCTGTAAATAATCAAACAAAAGTGAAAAAATAGTGTTACCATTTTTTCTAAACAATTGAGCTCATGTTTGATTTCAGTTGCACTTGTATGACTATTCTGTAGATGCTTGTTTACTAGTACTTATAAATAAGTGTGCTAATTAAAGTCCAATACAAGCAATGCAGACAGAAGTGTGAATAACATTCTGTAATGCCATTTGAAAAGTTGATATATCATTAGATACAATTTGGCACCAATTTTAACAAACTCAATCAAAAGGAATAGCTTGTAGTACGTGGTTATGGAATTTATATCAGACTAGATACTATAAAATTAAAACAAACAGGTTATAGTTGGAACTTTGCAGTAAAAGATAGAAGTTAAAAGACTAGGCTAAATGTTTTTTAAAGAACTAATTTCTAAAACAGCTTATGGGTTTTGATTACACGAGGTCACTAATGTGATCTCATGCTATGTCCTTGACATAGGTAGTGCATGATGGTACACTGAAGCCAAAAAACCAAGGTAATGACTCCATACCAGTCAGGACTTGAAGAATGACTGAGATTTATGATAAGAGAATTCATAACAAGTCCTCCAATGCCAAGTAGAAGGGAAGGGCTGCTTCTGGATTAACCACCAAGTGAACAGCTGGTGAGAATGGACCCACACTCAAGGAACTAAGGACTGTGGAAAGTTGGTGACCATGGAGTCACCCAGCAGAACCTTTACAACAGTGTCTCCACTTGGTTATGCTCAAATAATTGAATGATGAGGACTTGACTTATAATATATCGGACTATTTACCTTGGTAAAGCAGCAAGAATGAATCTTGCATACACCTGAAGGAGTTGATCTTTAAACTTAAGACTACTGCGAGTATGGTGTAATGTATAATTGTAAATGAGATTTTCTATTGTGTTAAATGGGTCAGGGCCTACAATTTCTGCACTTTAGAGTACTAATTGTTTACTGAGCTATGTTTAGTAATGTAAGAACCAAAAGAATTGCAGACGCTGAAAAACAGAATCAAAAACAGAAGTTGCTGAAAAAGCTCAGCAGGTCTGGCAGCATCTGTGAAGAAACGTCAGAGTTAACATTTCGGGTCCTGAGGAAGAGTCACCGGACCCGAAACGTTAACTCTGATCTTTTCTTCACAGATGCTGCCAGACCTGCTGAACTTTTTCAGCAGCTTCTATTTTTGTCCATGTTTTAGTAATGTTGAGTTTTGTTGATTTGTTAGAATAAAATTCAGGATAAGTGAAATCTTATTAAGCAATGCTTTGCTTAGTTCACTGGGAACTTTTTTTTTTAAAAGCTTATAGTTTCTAGGGTATCATACAATGGTTTATTAATAAACATGATTTTCAAACTACTTTTAATTTAAAATTACTAAGGTTTACAACTAAAAGCTCCTGGAGTTTTCAGCTAGTGTAAAACAATTCCAAATGATACATGTAAATAAGCAACAAAATGTAGTGACTATTACAAGTAGGTATTTGTGTTACCTGCGAAAATGTCTTAACTACCATTTTGGGAATATCATAAATAGACTTGTCCATTTCCGATGAAGCAGATTCAACATGTGGCTTTGGATTAACCCATTCAGTTTTTCCCTGGTCATTCTGAAAACCAAAACAGACCCTTTAAATTAGTTGGTCCATTTAATAAGACCATAAGTCCATAAGAAATAGGACACGAGTAAGCTGTTTGGCACATGGGCCTCCTCTGCCATTCAATAATAATACAACTCAAATCTATGCCATTCATTGTGCTTTCAGATTGATGTAAATAGAAAGTGGTTTCATTGAAAGATGTACAGCTCAGTCAGTGCAACACACTTTGACCAGGCTCTGGTTCTGTGGGTGTGGAGTTACACAAAGAACTAATTAGGTAAGGACAGTGGATTTGCTTCTTCAAATGTATTAGGGCACTGTATTCTTCCAATAACATTCAGTAGCTTGTTTCATTATCACTATTACTGATGTTAGCTTGTTTAACTGTTTGAATTAAATTTATCTTGCTATTTTGGTGTTTAAACTTCCGCCTCTGGATTACTGATTAATATACCTGGTTGGCACAGTTGGTAGCATCACACCTTCGTGCTGGGAAGATTGAGAAATCCAGTCCCACCTCAAGACTGGAACACAAGACTGGAGCTTGACATTCCAGTGGATCATTCAGGGAGCACTACTGTTGGGTGCACCACCTTTTTGGAGAAACATTAAATCAGCGTTCCCCCTAAAATAGCTGTGGCATAAACTGGCTAATCAATTTGCCTTGTTACAATAAAAATAATTAATTAATAAACATTCGATTTTCTTTCTGAATAAGGAGAGAGAAAATGCATGAAAGAAGTTGACTGATTTCCTGACAAAATCTGAGCTTTCAAAGTAACATGGATTGATAATTGTTATAACTTGAAGGTGAGAAGTATTCACCTCCCTCTCCCGCTCCACTGCGTTGAATTTGTGGCACAGAAGCAGGCCATTTGGCCCAAGCAATGTCTGCTGATGCTAACGCCCCACCCAACTCTCCATACACAGGATGTGTCTCTAAATATACATTGGACTATCTGTTATTGATTATGTTTTCTGCATTTCCCTCCTCTTGACTATTGAGCAAACAATGCAATTTATGTACAATACATTTCAAATGTTGCATAACAATAGTACCTCTAGAATTGTGTTATAAATTGGATCAGATGTGCCTCGTAAAAGTGTTCCTCGTCGTGGGTGCCGCTCAGTTTTGGCATGTTTTCCAGAACTACCCTGTAGATAAGTAGTAAAGGATCGGCAAGATCAGACCAGCCTGACAATGTACTGTTGTAGCCCATTTCATATCAGCTTTCAGCATTATAGGGTGAAATAGGATTGTCTGATTTTGGCTAAGGAATAACATTTTCGTCTGCAACTGCCAATTCGACCTACCCGATATGAAACACTTAAAAACAATATATTAGTAAGTGCAGCATTTTAATTTTGCTATTTTAGCAATCCTAGTACATCTAGAAGAGCTGTAGCAACTTTGCCAAGGTTCCTGTAACAGAACCTTGCAAACCCACAGTCTGTGCCACCCAGAAGGAGAAGGACAGTGAATACATGGGAATAACAATTTTCAAGTTCTCTAAGGATTACATCAATCTAATTTGGAGATATAATGCTGTTCTTTCAACGTCCCTGGGGCAAAAACTGGAACTCCTTCCCTGATACCACTGTGGGTGCAATCACACCAAATTATAGTTGTTCAAGAAGGTGACCACCTTATCAAGAACAATCTAGAGTTCAGCAACAAATGTGGCCTTTCCAGTAAAACTGTTAACTTTGGAAATGAAAGAAATCCCATATTGAGCTACACACTTGGTGAGGGAAGTGACAGAGGTGCAAAGTGCGTAGGATTATTCATAATTACATTGATTAGACAGTCACTTATTTTTGCTGAAAAATGATCCATCCAAAAATGTGAATAATGTAAAACACATGTCTTTGCTTCTTTCAACAGGAGAAAGATAGAATTCAGAAGTAGGCTGGCCCTGCAGATGGCGACATTCTTTCAAAACCAGCAGATTGTTGTACCTAACAGCCTTTTCATTGTATTAACTATTTTGATGCATTTAATTGTTTGTTTCATCTTATAAAGTTAACCATTTGGTTAGTGAATGTTTCCCCAGGATGAGAAGGGGCTGATTTGTATATGTGGGATCCAATTTAGACGTTTTCACAGTGGGAGCACAGAACCACATCTACGCACAAATTTTAATTCACTTGAATAAATAGACAGAAAATTAGGGTGCATACCAGGATATTGCAGTCCTGGCAGGTGAATCACTTTACCAGGAGCATTCATTTATAAAATATTTTCTGTTGCATAAAAACATCATTTCAAACAAAAAATAAAAAACAATATACTGTGGATACAGGAAATCTGAAATAGAATTTCTGATGGAGGTTTATTGATAATATGTCCATAAGGTATTGGAGCAGAATTAGGTCATTCGGCCCATCAAGTCTGCTCCACCATTTGATCATGGTTGATATGTTTCTCAACACCATTCTCCTACAATCTTTGATTCCCTTACTAATCAAGAACCTGTCCATCTCTGTCTTAAGTATACACAATGACTTAGCCTTCGCAGCCTGTGGCAGTGATTTCCACAGATTCACCACCCTTTAGCTGAAGAAATTCCTCCTCAGTTCAGTTTTAAAGGGTTGTCCTTTCACTCTAAGGCTGTGCCTTGGATCCTAGTCTCTCCTACGAGTGTAAACACTTTTTCCACATCCACTTTACCCAAGCCTCTCAGTATTCTTTAAGTTTCAACCAGATCCCCCCTCCTCCTTCTAAATTCCATCAAATGCCGACTCACAATCCTCAATGCTGCTCATATGACAAGCCCTTCATTCCTGATCTGAAATGTTAGCTTGGTTTCTCCCACCATAGCTGCTACCTGACTTGCCGACTATTTGATATGACTTATTGTCATATGTATTTTGTTACAAAATGTAAAGAAGAGTGTTTATGCACAGTGTAATATATCACAGAGAGAGAGAGAGAGAGAGAGACATTGAGACATTACATAAACTAATAAAGGATATTTATGCAAACCCAGGTGCTGGGAATGAAGTATTAAAAGATTCTCAAGAGTATTTTTATTTTGTCTACTGGATGGTATTAATTTCAATAACATGCTCTGGATGATTACATATTTTTCTGTAACTCTATAGATTTTAATGTGAACAGAAAACAAATGGATTATTTAATGTCAACTTCAAATATAAAAAAGGTTTATAATTTGCAATTACTTTTACCTGTGATTTCCATTACCAAATGTATTATTTGAACTAAAAACCAATTTAATATAGACTATGACATTTAGGATACCTTAATGCACAGCCATAATAAATTAGAGCAATACTAAACTACTACACCAAATATTAGCTTCTGAAGTTAGAATGAGCTGGGGAAAAGGTGCCCCATTTTAATGCATCACAAATAACAATTTTTAGTTGGAAGGGAAAACCAAACCTAAGCTAGACCATTAATTGGATGTTTGTACATGTTTCTAAAACATAAAAACAAGGTATAATACAACAGTTCTGGCTGTTCTTAAAAAAACAAGTTAAGATAATTGAGAGAGTTTTCACAATGTCACTATATTTTTTTTACCTGGGATTGTTCCTCAGCTGATGGAATTGTCTTCATGTGAAGCAGATTTGCAATTATGCCTTGCAATAATTGTGCAGTATCTCTGTGGAAGGAACAGCTCAATTAAAAATAAACTAATGCAGTCAGTTTGAAATGTCACCTCATCAATAATGCCAATACATCCTTAAATTCATTAAATACTGGTAAAAGTTAACTAATGTTAATTCTGTGAACCTTCTGGTATTTTTGCTTTTTCACACTTCACTATAGAGCTGTATTATCAGAGAGGTGAGACAGAAATGTTTGCACATCACTTGCAGGCATTGTTTCTACACAATAATTATATATTGAAAGTCTTAATAGCTGTTGCAGAAGACCACTACTTTTAGCACATCAAATGGTAGAACAGTTTCAACACAAAAATTGACATCAGCTTGGAACAAGACCTTCCCTGGTTTCCCACACCAAAACTAGTTTTCTCCTCCTTGGTCTCTTCCTGATGTAATTGACTTCCTGCTAGGGTTAGTTGCAACATTCACCCTTGCATACCATGAATTCTTCTTGTGGGAGCCTAGATTGAATTCTGATTGCAGGGAGGAAGTATAGCCTTAGCCATACCATGTCTTGCCTAAGGTTATATTTACACAAACACACTATGCTAGCAAGAGTTTGGTATAAATTGGTAAGGAATAAGAACCTTAGAAAGTTTATCCATTCATGAAGATGGAGAAACCAGAGTTTATTGGGCCATCTCGACCTCCTTGGTTGACAGAAACTAATTCAGTACTGATTCTCACTTAAGTTTTGAATTGTCTTGGTTCACTGAAAAGAGAAATGATGAGTAGATACTACGGTGCCTGCACAAAGAGAAAGAAATAGTATAGCATCATGGTTGAGTGGTCTGCGGCATTTGGCTGGCACTTACTGATGTGGCCTCTAATTAAGCCATTCTCCCGTCTCCTTGGTTGTAAACGTGTAAGGACCAATCAACAAAAGGACAATAATATAAGAGAAAAGAAGAAGCACAGCCAAAATCATACCAACAAAGCAGCTTTATAAAACAAAAATTTGGTTTTGAAAAGTATTATGCATTTGTTCCAGAAGTTATTCCCAGACAGTATAAAATTTTGCTAAAAAAAAAATCAATTCCAGCTTAAGATTATTATGCTTCAGGCCACAATTGTGCTCATTTCCCTGAACATTACAATAGGAGATGTTCCCTGTTTAAAATTTAAACATTTTCTATTATATTTAGTACTGCTTTAAATCATTTATGTAGTTTCATTCTAAGTCCAATCAGTTTGTGGACAGTACATGACTACTTTGGTAAAAAGGGATGGGAAGTAACTTCAACATGAACTGTCCCTCCTTCCAATGTCATAGTAAAACAAATCCAACAGGATCAGGGAGTGATCAGAGACATTGACAAGTGTATTAATAAATTACATCAGGCAAGGTTAAAGATAAAGTGAGATTTCTTTCCTTCAGGATATTTTAATCTTGAGGGGTTTGCTTTCACTGATTTTAGATGTATTGTGAATTCTCTCCAGATTATTTAACAGTTATTGATTCTTAAAACCCTTTCTTTGACCAATCTAGTTTTTTTATACTTACTTTTCTCCAATAAGAAAGTAATCCCTTTCTTCCATCTTCAGCAGAACAACAGACTCTGAGGTGCATTTAAACAGTTTTTGAATCGTAGCCCATTTTGGATGATCATCCAAATTACTGCACAACTCTATAGTTCTTTTTAAAACAAGGAGAAGCAGCTATTAGTCTAACTGTAAACCTAGTTACACTTGAAATAGTACAGTTTCATATTTTAAAAATAGTAGGATGACAATAAACTGAAGGATCATGTATACAGCTACAGTGCTGTTGGAGCTGCACTCATCTGGAGGACTGGTGTGTATTCAATCATTTTCCCAACTTGTGCCTTGAAAATCATGGAAGGAATTTCAGAGGACAGGCGGTGAGCCATGATTTGGAGAGTAGCCTCTCCGAACACAGTAGGGATATAGTGGTCCAATTCAGCCTCCCATCAATGGAGAACTCCAGGACCTGCTCATAACAATGGTGCTACTGATGATCAAGAACAAGTGACTGGGTTATCTGTTTTTTTGAATTGGTCATTATCTTGCACTTCTGTGGTAAAGATGTTACCTGTCACTTTTTAGCCCAAGCTTGTTCATTATCTAGTATAGATGCCTTCATTATCACAGCAGTTGTGAATGGAGAGCAAAATGTTTAAACTTACTTTAACGGCACCATTTCTGACCTTATGACAGATGAATGGTCATTAGTGAAGTATGTAAGTGGAGCTATTTGCAATGTAGTTGTTACAAATAGGAGGTTCTAAAAAGATTGTTGTGTTATGGGTTTGTGTTTTTATATATAAAATAAAAGAGGAGTGAAGGGTTCATGTATCCTGTTCAGGATTACTCATCTTTCCAGCTTTGCTATGAGCTTGCCTGACTTACAAACTTTATAGCCTTCAAAGGTGGGATTTTATTCCAAGAGTTACCTTTTATAAATTCTTCCATTAACACTATTTCTCTTAAAAGTTTCCAAAATCTACATCAAACTTCATCACTGTATACTATTGATCAAAAACAATTTCTAACTAGGAAATTGCACAGAAATCTGATACAGTGTGTTCCTTACCTGTAAATGTTTAGAGCTAACTGATACATGTTAATCACAGCAATCTTAACTGTACCATAAACTTTGGACTATTCATGTGAAAGAACCAAAACACTTAATAGAATTGTTCAAATTTCCTTTGGCTATTCTAACATTGTCTGAGATAACTGCTACATGCAAATACATTTTAACTCCATCTTCACTGAATTTGGGCGCTAGATAAAATTCCTTTGCAAATTGATATCTGGAATTAAATCTGCCCCCTCATCAAGGGTGCCTGCTACTCGTTGCTTAAATAAGCAAAGCCTTTCTATGTTCTGTTCAAATTTTCTGGCTTCCCTCTCTCTTTGTAATTCAAAGTTTTTTCTTTCTTTTACACTTTGAAATTCTAATTCAAGTTTTGCATTTCCCTTTCTTTATTGCTAGCTGTAGCAAGGCACCCAAAGACATACCATTATGTTAAATGAACACCTCAAGAGATATAGTCATTTAACTTTGCAACAAATACAACAAAAGTCACTGAAATCTTGTCCAAATCTCAGTGCCCCTTTCTCAGTCTGTGGATTCAACATCCCGAAACAGCTCCCAAATTTGTTAGAATCTCCAAATGGCCAATAAATTTGAAGAAAAAAATAAATTTGCATTCAGTGACCATGTCAGATCCTGGCAGATTCATCTGTCTTTGAAAATCAGGGATACCTTTTTGGATAACCTTGTAATCCAATCCTACGTTGGACCTATGCAGTTTTTCCCTCTCAATGCCTATCTCCGTGACAACATGAATCACATAGACCTCAAATCCAGAAATGCTATCTTTAGATTTCAAACTTCACTGTATCTTGGAAATACATAGTCATTTTAAAGCGTAAAAATTTACAATAGTACATTCTTAACACTTCCGAGACATTGAAGGCTAAACATGTATCCACCTACTGCCAGCACCGACGTTTCTGCCATTGCTACAAGTGTAAACAGCTGACACCTATTAAAAAAACTGCATACCCCGACTCATCTCTGAGCAATCAAACCAGGCAAATCTGGGGCTGTTGTAGTGCCCCTATCGCAGAGCCAGGAGGCCTGGGTTTGAGACCCACCTACACAAGAGGTGTGTAACAACAACTCTGAACTGGTTGATTATTAAATACCACAAACCAGGCAGGTTTGCTGTCACCAGAGTTTGGGACATAATCATATGACCATTTCCCCACCCCTTTAGTTTATCCTAGCTTTAAACACTGTCCCATAACATAACAACCTCACATTTATAAAGTTTATTGCCAAAATAGAGAAGGACAAACTGTTCATAACTTATGGGGATGAAATTGAAGGAAACCTATCTCATCTAGACATCTCTAACCTGTACTTGACCTGCTTTCAATACTGTATTCAGATTTTTACAAGATAAATCCAAAAAGGGGAAAAATTAATAATGTCATAAATTGAAAGTGGACAGACAGTTTGAATGCTACAACTGATGGAAGGATCAAACAATGTTTCTTAAAATGTAATGTTTTTTTCCATAGGTTGGAACAGCGTCAGATATATTGGACTGTTAGAGGATCCATTCCTACCTAAAATGAACCAATATCTCTTTGAAGAGTTAAACATTTTGGCAATCATAGTTTAATCTGTCATTTGGGATTCAATTGTCAAATATGACTTAACAGAACAATAGACAAGTTGTTTCAAGAAGAACGTGGCATATTAAAAAATCCTTTGTGAATATCACACAACACAATAAGAAGGTTTTATTCTGTGAAATGGATCAAAAACAAATTAAATATTTACTTTTCAATATGTATTTTTCCATGTGGAGATGATTTTCTGTACTGTTCTTGGTTTTTGAAGTAATACAAAGTATGATCATTGTCCTTAGCTGTCAACACAAAGTATCTTTTTTTCCATGATGTCTAAAGAACAGAATAAAATTATTCACAACAATGTCAAACATCTACTAAAATAAACTCATTCTAAGTACACTTAAATTATATGTACATTAATGTTCCTAGGACACTGTCTAATAAATCTATGCTCGTAAGTATGTGAAGAATGTTTAATTCTTACTGAAATGTTGGCAATTGTACAAATTTTAAATGATAATGTCTTAAATTGATCTTATGGCAGCTTATAATTTGGTATAGTAGTTTTACACGCTTTGGAGTTGAAATCACATTTTTGGAATGGTATAAAATGTAATAAAGTGGCAATATATAAGGGGCATTTCATTTTCCATCAATTATTGGACACAGTTCAAGAAAATGGCTCTGAAGTTAATTTTTAAACTTGTGGTAAAATGAAGATAACTGCAATGTCATTGTTGGTAGCATACTGTTCTGATTTGAATGTAACAGTCACACCCAAATTAATTACTGTTGGTAACACAGTGTGGAGCTGCAGGAACACAGCAGGCCAGGCAGCATCAGAGGAGCAGGAAGGCTGATGTTTCGGGTCGGGACCCTTCGGAAAATGGCTTCGCAGTGGGGTTATAACTCACTCGGAGATGGTAAGAACTGCCGACGCTGGAGTCAGAGATAAGTCTGAAGAAGGGTCCTGACCCGAAAGTCAGCTTTCCTGCTCCTCTGTTGCTGCCTGGCCAGCTGTGTTCCTCCAGCTCCATACTGTGTTATCTCTGACTCCAGCATCAGCAGTTCTTACTCTCAATTACTTTTGGTAATGTGTCTGTAACTAATCAATGTTATTCCTGTCAAAGGAAAATTCATTATTTCAGTCTGCACACACTAAACCAAGTATACAGTCTGTTCATAGTCATAATACAGGATGCCCTTCAAATATTTAAAGAACAATATTCTAAATGCCCAAGTAAAGTTCATTAATGTGAATATAGAAAATGATTTATTTATAAAACAAACTGATGCTAAATGTTTTCAAATACATAATTCTTTGAAGCTTGTGTCACAGGTAGACAGGGTGATTAAGAAGGCATTTAACATTGCTCAGACCTTTTCAATATAGGAGTTGGGATGTCATATTGAGGTTGTTCAGGATGTTAGTGAGGCCTCTTCTGGAATACTGTATCCAGTTCAGGTCATTCTATAGAAGGGATATTATTACACTGGAAAGGGTTCAGAAAAGAATTACCAGGATGTTGCTGGGAACGGAGGGTTTGAATTATACGGAGAGACAGGATAGGCTAGGACTTTTTTTCACTGGAGGGTAGGAAGTTAAGGGGTGACCTTATACAGGTTTATAAAAAAAAAAAATCATGAAGGGTATAGATGAGGTGAATAGCACGTGTCTTTTCCATAGGGTGAGGGATTTCAAGAGTAAGGAGCATATTTTTAACGTGAGAAGAGAAAGATTTAAAAAAAGACATCAGGGGCATTTTTTTTAAAAAAAAGTGATTCATGTGTGGAATGGACTTCCAGAGGAAGAAGTGGTGGATGCAGGTACAGTTACAATGTTTAAAAGACATTTAGAAGTGTACCCAAATAAGAAATGTTTGGAGATATATGGGCCAAGCGCTGGCAGGTAGGACTAGTTTAGTTTGGGATTGTGGCTGGCATGGACTGGTTGGACCAAAGGGTCTGTTTCTGTGCTGTATGACTCTATCTGGCCCAAAAGAATTGCTAAACTTCATAAGAATTGGTACAGATATGTCCCTCAGTTTGCAAGTTAGTTTTGATTGTTGTTGTAGAGAAAGCTGGGTCAATTGTAGCAGCATTGCTTTCAAGAATAGGTTAATGGTTTCTCTTTTAACCAAAAGCAACATTTAAATAAATATCTTGAACATACCTGAATTCCAATCCGCTTGTTCGGTGGTGATTTTGTAAGATATCCTTCAAAACAAATGTCATTCTTCCCAATAACATTCTCACTGTCATTCACTGCATCATAAAATACAGCCGACAAATGACTGCCTATTTTAAAAATATACATACAGTACAACATAAATAGTAGGAACAAGTTAACTATTTCAGCAGATAGCCAAAAATGACATTTCATATACCAAACATTAGTAAAAGGTAAGTGAAACTATGATAGTCCCAGAGGGATGCTGTCCCATTAGAAAGAGATGATTTGTGGTGGTTTAACCTGAACGTCACCATGCCTCAGACAAGGTGAGAGGTTGAGATCTTCATAGTAACCTCAGCTGGTGCAGGCATTGAACCTGGGTTGCTCGTGTTGCTCTAGCTTCACAACCCAGCTGTTCAGCCAACTGAGCTAAGCAGCCTGAAAATGCCAACTTTAAAACCAGTAAGAAATATTTTTCAGAGATAATAAGAACTGCTGAAGCTGGAGTCAGAGATAACAGTGTGGAGCTGGAGGAACACAGCAGGCCGGGCAGCATCAGAGTAGGAAAGCTGACATTTCAGCTCAGGAACCTTCTTCAGAAAATCTACAGAAATTCAGAAAATTCTCTGAAGAAGGGTCCCAACCCGAAATGTCAGCTTTCCTGCTCCTCTGATGCTGCCTGACCTGCTGTGTTCCTCCAGCTCCACACCATGTTATTTCAGAAATACTTTTCAGCAAGTTCTTGTATCAAGCCTGGCTCTCATCTTTTAATTTCATCATAAATAAAGGAAATGAGAAAGAACTCCAGCATGTAGCATTTCTGGAAAAACTGAAGTAAAAGTTCTTAAGGCCACAATGTAACTTTGTAATTTGTATTAAAAGCCAAGTCCATTTCACAGGTCACACCTCCATGGTCTTAATAGACTGGAATTAATAATTATCAAGAAGTTCATCATCTATGTCTTTAGCCATCATTATTGAATCTTTTCGTAAGAAAGCATCCAATTCCATTTGTGAAAAAATTTGGGAAATGATACAGCACTTTGAAGCACAAAGTCCACTCTATGGGAGCAAATTTCCTCAGAGTACAGTTCCATTTTCAGAAGTGAGTGCCAAGAGGATATTTCCTTCTGTGAAACTGACAAATAGCCTTCAACTAAACTGGAATCTTAATGTTAACTCACAATCATAATTAAACAGCCTGATAACACAGGAGTGTGGTGTACAAATAACAACAATGTATCATTTTAATAACATAAGTCATGTACCTGTGCCTTGCTTACTCATTTTCAAATTCTTCATAAGGATTGGAACAATCTGGAGAAGAAATAGATTATCAGGAAAACTGCATCGGAGGTAACAGTGACATGAAAACAAAACTGCCAAAGGAAGAATTCGAAATATCATTTCTAAAGAAATAGTCCAACGGTTCAAGGACGCAATGAGGTAACAGCATGTTAAGTTCAGCCGTGAGCTGTTCACATTCATGAAAGATCCCAGTGATCCATATTGGATATCGATGAACTATAAAGCTGGAGCTTAAAGGTGGTACGGCTGTACTGCTGGGGAGTGTGGGGGTCGTTACTCTCCCGGGTTGCTCACTGTTAAAGTGCAGTTAGCCAGCTCACGCATTCGGCTTGCTCATTTCCATTCACCTTGCGGATGAGAGTGAGGGTCCTCAGTAAACGCCGGCGCCCAGCGACTTTGCTCGAGGAGGAGACTCCAACTCCAGATTTACACCTCATCTGGCAGATTGCACCGGCAGCTTTAGTCCGCTCGTCATCATTCCGATTTGGATCTTAGTTATACTGCAGGTTATACATTGCTCACTCGAAGGGTTTCAGATGGAGAAGCTCCAGTAAACTTAACCCAATTTAAAATATCATCCGCCACAAATGATATTTCTGGAGCTTTTTCTGTGCTCTATTACAAAACCACGTCTAAATTGGTTTCTAATACAATGACGAACATAGCTGCCCCGAGATTTTGCTCAGAGCCACACACTATTGTTTTCTTTAACATCGACAACACTTTATATCAATTTAAACCTAGGAATTTGGATGAGAACAACAGTTTCCCAATATTTTTAGTAACTTGAATCCTCCCCTGCCCTCACTGCCACTGGTACCTGCCGCACTAATCGGTTACTTTCAAGATCACATTCAATAATATTTTACAATCCAGCATAAATTTAGTCTAATAAAACACATACCAACAGTGTTATTCTTATGGAGTGGCGTTGCTGGTGTCTCTCGTACCTGCACACGACTCCTTCGAGAAACAATCCCAAACTGCTGTTGTCAGGACCTGCTCCTGCTTATTTAAGGGCGTAGGCTGAGCGGGATTTTCCAGCTAAATCTTCCACTGCGGTGATTTCCAAGTTTTCTTTCCTCCTTGCTTTCACCTGTCGTCGTGAAATATAGAAGATTTGCGGGGATATTTTCTAACTTCAGAAAAAAAGCACAGCTCGTGCATGTAATAATTATATTGTTGTTTACTAGCTGGACGAAAGTGCAGTCAGGAATTGTTCATCATTAACAGGATATCAAGTGCAAAATAGAAGAAATAAATAACCAGGTACTATTCTGCACCTCAATAATGAAATGTACCTCTGGTGGTTATTGTCCAGACCTATTTTTAAACTAAGGCCATCCAAGAGATATTAGTTTCAAGTTAGCAATGGTGAAATCACAACTCCAATCAGGGCAGGTTCTCTTTGTGCTTGTGGTTTTGAAAAATAAGCTCAAAACAAGTAAATTCAATTAGTTGAATGATATCCTGAAAAACATCTGAGGTGCTGCTACACAGCAAAGAATAAATAAAAACACTAAAAATCTGAAAAACAACAGAAACTCCTGGAAGCATCCAGTGGGTCAAGCAGCATTGTTAAAATCACTTTAGAGAAGAAAGACAAGAGCTTACAGATCCTGCTGATTGACCCTGATTGTCACCAAACGAACAGCGAATTTTCTTCTGTGAAAAACACTCACAGATAAATTTGCCAAAGGAATGGTCATAACTGACGCACAGCCCACCTTCCTGGCCTCTTACCAGCCCGTTGTTTTATTTATTTAATTACATATAATATTTGGGTTTTCCTTGACTTTATTTGCATATATTGTTCCTTGAATCCTTGGCTTTTGCAATTTCCTTTCTAATCGTACCCCTGCACTTTTTCTTGTGCCTCTCTGGGTTTCGGCAGATTTGAGTGCTTGGCATCTGATTTTTTTTGCCCTCACCTAAATTGTAAGCCTTTTGAATCACAGGACTCTTTAAAAAAAGTAAGAATCAGGAGTAGGAGTAAGCAATTCAGCGTCTTGAACCTGCTCCACCATTCAATATGATCACGATTGATACCATCTTGGCCCCAATTCCACTCTCCTGCTCTCTCCCCATAACCTTTCAACCCATTACGAATTAAAATTCTGTCAATTTCCTCGTTAAATCTGCTCAATGTCTGTGAATCCATCGCACTCTAGATTTGGCGAATTCCACAGATTCATGACCCGTTGAGAGAAGTAATTTCTCCTCATGTCTGTTTAAAAGGAGATGCAGCAAAGTTTAAACTGAAAATTGGATAGAAATGGATATCCAGAAGGACTTGCAGCCTCCAAAGCAACAACCTATGGTCTATATTTGTGGAGGTAATGTTAACAAACCTGGACCATGGTTGATATTTCTTATTTTGAATTTAAAAAATTGTGTTGTTACATTTTTGATTTGATTTGTTATTGTCACATATACCTAGGTAAAGTGAAACATTTTGTTTGCATGCAGTAGAGGCAGATCATACCATACAAAGTACATAAGGGTAATAGAACAGAGCAAAGAATACAATGGTACGGCTGCAGAGAAGATGCACAAAGAGCCGAGGCCAACATTAAATTTGAGAGGTCCATTCAGAAGTCTAATAACAATGGAGAAGAAGCTGTTCTTGAATCTGTTGGCACATGTATTTAAGCTTTTGTACCTTCGGCCCAGCGGAAGAGTTTGAGAGAGATTATAACAAGGGTGTTAGGGGTCTTTAATTATATTGATGACAGAAATGTGGAGGTTGTTTAGGAAGCACTTGCTACGAGTACTGGATAGGTTTGTCCCACTGAGGCCACGAAGGGATGGTAAGATGAAGGAACCTTGAATGACAAGACATGTGGAACATCTAGTCAAGAGGAAGAGGGAAGCTTACTTAAAGCTGAGGAAGCAAGGATCGGACAGGGCTCTAGAGGGTTACAAAGTAGCCAGGAACGAACTGAAGAATGGACTTCAGAGAGCTAGAATGAGGTAAGAAAAAGCCTTGGTGGGTAGGATTAAGGAAAACCCCAAGGCGGTCTATACTTATGTGAGGAACAAGAGGATGGCCAGAGTGAGGATATAGTGGAGGGAACTTGTGCATGGAGTCAGACGAGGTAGGGGAGGTCCTTAATAAATACTTTGCTTCAGTATTCACCAGTGAGAGGGTCCTTGACGTTTGTGAGGACAGTGTGAAACGGGCTGATATGCTCGAACAGGTTGATGTTAGTAAGGAGGACGTGCTAGAATTTTGAAAAGCATGAGGATAGACGGGACAAACCCAAGGTTACTACGGGAAGCGAGGGAAGAGATACCTGTACCTTTGACGATGATCTTTGCGTCCTCGCTGTCCACTGGAGTAGTACTACATGATTGGTATGTTATTCCCTTGTTCAAGAAAGGGAATAGGGATAATCCTCCGAATTACAGACCAGTCAGTCTTACTTCTGTGGTGGGCAGATTATTGGAGAGGATTCTGAGAGATAATATTTATGATTATTTGGAAAAGCATAGTCTGATTAGAAATAGTCAGCATGGCTTTGTGAGGGGCAGGTCATGCCTCACAAGCCTTATTGAATTCTTTGAGGATGTGACAAAACGCATCGATGAAGGTAGTGCAGTGGATGTCATGTATATGGATTTTAGCAAGGCATATGAGAAGGTTCCCCATGGTAGGTTCATTCAGAAAGTAAGGAGACATGGGATTCAGGGAAGTTTGGCTGTCTGGATACAGAATTGGCTGTCCAATAGAAGACAGAGGGTGGTAGTAGATGGAAAGTATTCAGCCTGGAGCTCGGTGACCAGTGGTGTTCCGCAGGGATCTGTTCTGGGACCTCTGCTCTTTGTGATCTTTATAAATGACTTGGATGAGGAAGTGGAAGGGTCGGTTAGTAAGTTTTGCCGATGACACGAAGGTTGGTGGAGTTGTGGACAGCGTGGAGGGCTGTTGTAGGTTGCAACGGGACATTGACAGGATGCAGAGTTGGGCAAAGAAGTGGCAGATGGAATTCAACCCAGAAAAGTGTGAAGTGATTCATTTTGGAAGGTTGAATTTGAGTGCAGAATACAGGGTTAATGGCAGGATTGTTGGCAGTGTGGAGGAACAGAGGGATCTTGGGGTCCACATCCATAGATCCCGCAAAGTTGCTACCCAAGTTGACAGGTTTGTTAAGAAGGCGTATAGTGTGTTGGCTTTCATTGGCAGGGGAATTGAATTTCAGAGCCGTGAGGTTATGCTGCAGCACTATAAAACTCTGGTTAGACCTCACTTGGAATATTGTGTTCAGTTCTGGTCACCTCATTATAGGAAGGATGTGGAAGCTTTAGAGAGGGTGCAGAGGGGATTTATCAGGATGCTGCATGGACTGGAGGGCAGGTCTTATGAGGAAAGGTTGAGGGAGCTAGGGCTTTTCTCATTGGAGCAAAGAAGGATGAGAGGTGACTTGATAGAGGTGTACAAGATGATGAGAGGCAAAGATAGAGTGGATAGCCAGAGACTTTTTCCCAGAGAGGAAATGATTATCATTAGGGGGCATAATTTTAAGGTGATTGGAGGAAGGTATAGGGGAGGTGTCAGAGGTAGATTCTTTCCACAGAGAGTGGCGGGTGCATGATATGCACTGCCGGCGGTGGCAGTAGAGTCAGATACTTAGGGACATTTAAGCGACTCTTGGATAGGCAAATGGATGATAGTAAAATGAAGGGTTATGCAGGTTAGTTTGATCTTAGAGTAGGATAATAGGTCAGTACAACATTGTGGGCTGAAGGGCCTGTACTGTGCTGTACTGTTCTATGTTCTATTTTCTAAATCTGTTTCCACTTATCCTAAAACAGTGACCTCTCATTCTAGGTTGCACCACATGAGGAAACATCCTCTTTATGTCTACTTTGTCAATTGCCTTTAGCATCTTATATATATCACTTTGATCTCCCTACATTCATCTAGAGCTTTTTTTATTCATTTGTGGGATGTGGGCATTGCTGGCTGGCCAGCTTTTCTTGCCCATCCCTAGTTGCCCTTGAAAAGATGGTGGTGAACTGCCTTTTTGAACTGCTGCAGTCTTCGTGTTGTGGGTTGACCCACAATGCTATTAGGGAGGGAATTCCAGGTTTTTGATCCAGCGACAGTGAAGGAACGGCATTATATTTCCAATTCAGGTTGGTGAGTGACTTGGAGAGGAACTTGGAGGTGATGACATTCCCACATATCTGCTGCCATTGTCCTTCTAGATGGAAGTGGTCATGGGTTTGGAAGGTGCTGTCTGAGGATCTTTGGTGAATTTCTGCAGTGCATCTTGTGGATAGTACACACTGCTGCTACTGAGCGTCAGTGGTGGAGGGAGTGAATGCTTGTAGATGCAGTGCCAATCAAGTGGGCAGCTTTGCCCTGGATGGTGTCAAGCCTCTTGAGGTTGTTGGGGCTGCACTCAAGTGGGGCAAGTGGGGAGTATTCCATCACACTCCTAACTTGTGCCTTGTAGATGGTGGACAGGCTTTGAGGAATCAGGAGGTGAGTTACTTGCCGCAGGATTCACAGCTTCTGGCCTGCTCTTGTAGCCACTGTGTTAATGTGGTGAGTCCGGTTGAGTTTCTGGTCAATAGTAACCCCCAGAATGTTGACAGTGGGGATTCAGTGATGGTAACATCATTGAATGTCAAGGGGCAGTGGTTAGATTGTCTCTTATTGGTGATGGTCATGTCCTGGCATTAGTGTGGCGCAAATGTCACTTGCCACTTGTCAGCCCAAGCCTGCATTTGTCCAGGTCTTGTTGCATGTGAACATGGACCGCTTCAGTATCTGAGGAGACATGAATGGTGCTGAACATTGTGCAATCATCGGCGAACATCCCCACTTCTAACCTTATGATGGAGGGAAGGTCATTGATGAAGCAGCTGAAGATAGTTGGGCCTGGGACACTACCCTGAGGAACTCCTGCAGAGATGTCCTGGAGCTGGGATGATTGACCTCCCACAACCATGACCATGTTCCTATGTGTCAGGTATGACTTCAA